CCAGACGACGGAGGACAAGAACCAGCTGTGTGGCTACATCGCTATGTTCCTCGGGGAGTTCAACCTGGCTCAGGATCTCTTCCTGGCCTCACAGTGTCCACTGGCTGCTCTCGAGGTGAGGGGAGGGGGTGGGGGGGATCAGATCAGAAAAGATAAGATGAGGTCATACCAGATAAGATCAGATCAGATTTGATATAAGATCATACCAGATCAGAAAAGAGCAGATAAGATCATACCAGATAAGATCAGGTCAAATTTGATATAAGATCATACCAGATCAGATCAGACAAGATAACATAAGATCAGACCAGATGGGACCAGACAAGATAAGACTAGATATGATAATACTTCATTGACCTATGGGAAATTTTATTGTAATTTAGTGGCAGTCTTGCATATTCTTTCTGAACTGTCTTTCCTAATGTAGAGAGAGGAATGTGAGTGTCTTGCTCATTCAGTCTGAACTATCTGACTGTAAATGTGTAGAAAGAGAGTAGATCGACAGTCTTTCTCTTTCACTTTGAACTATCTTTCCATCTCTGGATGGACAGAGAGAGAGAGAGAAATTATATTGACAGTCTTGCTAATTTTCCTTGAAGTTTCTGTCTGTCAGTCTGTCTGTCTGTCTAGATGTGCAGAGAGAGAGAGAGAGAGAGAATATGTATATATTTTAGGTATTGTCTTTTTCATTCTGTCCATTAGTATATGCGGAGACAGATATATATATATATATATTCTAGAGACAGTCTTGCTTATTTTATCCATTGATAGATGCATAAAGAGAGAGAGAGAAAGTATATGCCTTTAAGTGACACTCCTGTTCATTCCGTCCATCCATCCGTAGATGCGTCGCGACCTCCTCCACTGGGACAGCGCGCTACAGCTGGCCAAAGCGCTGGCACCGGAGCAGATCCCGTACATCTCCCGTGAGTATGCGCAACAGCTGGAGTTCACGGGCGACTACATGAACGCACTCTCGCACTATGAGAAGGGGGTCACGCAGAACGAGGCAGAGCGAGAGCACGACGAGGTGTGTGCGGCAGGGATTGCGAGGATGTCTCTGCGGGTCGGAGATTTGAGGAGGTGAGTGGAGGAGGAAGAGAAGCCCCTCTTTGGATATGAATATTATTGTGGGTTTGTTTTTTTTTCTTTGCTAATTATATATTTGACTTTTGGAAATAATACCATGTTGTTTGGTAGTTTTTGTTTTAAGTTTGGTATATTAAAATCTTTTCAAGGAAAATACAATTAATACTGGAACTAAGACTATCGCTATGCTTTAATAAAAAAAAAGAATTCTTTATCACATTTGAGTTAGTTTACTACACTGTATAAACTTGAGATAAGATAAATTGTTTCTATTGTCATGGCTGATCTGTACGTAACAATAACCACTTATAGCTTCTGTTCAAATCAGTCATTTCCTAATCCTTACTATCTTATCCTCTACTTCTCTTTTATGTTTGTCACACTCTTGTGACCCGCTATTTCCGAAGTGCCTGGATAGTCGAAGCAAAATTTGTGCTGATGAAGCTAGAGAAGTGAGCAGAATAAGCCTGATTCCCTGTAAGGACTTCTATGTTGACATCCACCCCTTGGTGCTACTAAATTTATTTTTTTTATGCATGTATCTGCAGTTTTAAAAATGAAATTTTCTTTGGAGATTCAATATTCAGTACAATGTATTAACAGGGGGTGTATCATTTTTTCCCCATTTGTTTCTTTGCATGTCTGTGAAGGTATTCCCAGAGCTCACTGTAAGGGCTGGTGTGTGAAAGACACCACTAACAGACATATCATCTCCACTTCATCTCTGTCATTTTTGTTTCTTTTTTCCCAATCATTTTACTTCTGTTACTATTGTTCACTCAAGAGCCACTATGAATATATACATGGTTCTGGAATGTTGAATTTGTTTCAGTGTGGCAGCATTACTACGATTTCTAAGTTGTTTTGTCGCAACCTTTGTTTTTTTTTCATACAGAGGTGTGTCTATGGCTCTGAAAATGCCCAGTAAGATTCTGAAAAAGGAATGTGCTCAGATTCTGGAGAGTATGAAGGTAAGATGATAATAAGAATAACTGGGACTTTTGCCGGCCTCCTTATTGAAGTCATTTTTATAGCACTGACTCACATGTGGACACAGTTCTGGGCGCGTTACATAAGTGAAAGCTCATAAATTGATTTGATCGTTATAATTATTAGTTATAGTGGTGGTAGTGGTAGTAGTAGCATCAGTAGGTGGTTGTAGAGGTAGCAGTAGGTGGTAGTAGTAGTAGTGTAGTAGTGGTGGTGTTTATAATAGTAGTAGCAGTAACAGTAGTAAGTAGTAGTAGAAGAAGTAGTAGTAGTAGTAGTGTTTGTAGTAGTTATAATAGTAGTGATGGTGATAGTAGTAGTTGTTGTAACAGTAGTAGTAGTAGCAGTAGGCAGTAGTAGTAATAGACGTAGTGGTAGAAGTAGTAGTTGTACTACTGATATTAGTTGTAATTGTAGTGGTAGCAGTATTAGTATTATCAATTATCAGTACTCTGTAACTAAGCACCCATTCCCTCCACCACCATCTCCCCCCCCCCCCCGTGCTGCAGCAATGGACCGAGGCGGCCCAGTTGTATGAGCAGGGCCAGTACTACGACAAAGCCGCATCTGTCTACATCAGAGGCAAAAACTGGTCAGTTGTTGTTGCTCATTATCTTTTATTGATTGTATTTTTGCGTATATATTTGTGGCAAAAACTGGTCAGTTATTGTTGCTTTTTATTTTTTGCAGATTCTTTTTTTGCTTTTATATATTTATGACAAAACCTGGTCAGTCATTGTGGCTTTTTATTTTTAATGATTCTTTTTTTGTCCATATGGCCGATAGAAACGAAGTCACAGGGGATCGAAGTTGCCTTGCGAAATGACGCCACGAGTTATGCTCGAACATGAAAACCAAGAAGGCTCACAAAGAAAAAACAGCTGCAGATATCTTTATTCCTGATATTGCACCACAAATAATGTTGTTATAGTAGTAAAAGTGTAGAAGTACGAGTTTCTCGGCAATTATTTCATTGTTGAATTTAGCAAAAGAAAAAGTAAAAACTCATTTCGGCACGTTTTGCTTTCTAAAAGTACATCGATTTCAGAACTAAAAATATTTGTTAGATTTCAGGTCAGTTTTTGGTACTGATTATTCTTACTGATTCTCTTTTTGTGTGTATATTTCTAGGAAAAACTGGTAATTAGCTATTGTTACTTATTATTTTTACTGATTTTTTTTGGTGAATATTACTAGAGAGTAATGTATAAAGAAAAGAAGGAGGAGAGATAAGGACAAGAAATGATTAAAAGAACCTGAAAGAAGGAGCAAACCCCACCAAAGCATCCCTCAACCACCCACTCTCTGACATTTTTGCTATTTCTCTTTGATCTGTGTCCCAGTTTTATGCTTTTCTATCTTACCTTGTCTTGTCTTACCTTACTTTACTTTATCTTTTCTTTCCTTACATTACCTTACCTTATATTATCTTATCTTATCCCTGGTCATATGTTAAATTGCTTTTTTATTTTATTGCTTTTTTATCTTACCTTATTTTATCTTATACCTAATCGTATATTACATTGCTTTATCTTATCTTATCCCTTATCGTATGTTACACTGCTTTATCTTATCTTACCTTACTTTATCTTATTTTACCTTACATTACCTAATCTTTCTTAACAATATCTTATCTTAAAATATCTTTCCTTACTTTACCTAATCTTATCTTATGTTATCTTACCTGACTTTACTTTACCTCCTCTTATTTTTCCTCGTCTCATCTCTCCTCTCATCGTATGTCGCACTAGGGGCAAGGTGGGGGAGCTACTGACCAAGATTACGTCTCCCAAGATCCACGCCCAGTACGCCAAGGCCAAGGAGGCAGACGGCCGGTACAAGGACGCGGCTGATGCCTACAAGATAGCCAAAGAATGTTGACAATGTTATCAGGTCTGTGGGATTTTTAACTTGTCGAGGATGCGAATGTTGGTCATTCGACAAAGCTTGAGATACGCTGTTTGAAGTGTAACTTCTGTATTCTTGCTTTAGGTCTTTCCGAAAAGGGGGATATTAACATGTTCTTGTGCACAGTAGATTTGTAGATAGGCTGATTTATCAATGTCATGCTCGTACTGTGCCGGAACAACATACGGGGAACTGCTGCTTTTTCTTTCCTCATCTTTACTATAGTCATTTTTCCTCTACTTTTTTTGTATGTTTGCCACTCTCTTGTGAACTGCTATTTCCGGGGTGCCTTTATAGTTGAAGCAAACTAAGTGCTGTTGAGGCTAGAGAGGTGAGCAGAGTGAGCCTGATTCCTCATTTGGACTTCTCAGTTGCCATTTACCCTTTGGCGCTCATATAGCTTTTTGCAGTTCCGAGTAAAACCTTACTAAAAAGCTTCTCTTTTCTCATACAAACAAACACGAAGTCATGATCTTATTTTCTATTTTTTGTTTTATTTTGTGGTCCCCAGAATCAACCTGGACCATCTACAGAACCCCGAGGAGGCCGTGAAGATTGTGAGAGAGACGCAATCGGTCGAGGGAGCCAAGATGGTCGCCAAGTACGGTTACCCAGCTTTTCTCACAATATGGTGTAGTCTGCCTAAAGTGAACATACTTTATTTGAACAATCACTTAAAGTGAACGATATTCTGTGGTCCCAATTGAACGCTATTTGTTTAAATTAAAAGAAATAGTTGATAGAATTAACCGGTTGCATGGGGAAATCGGATAAAGTGAATGCCCAAAATGAGTGAAAGCGAAGAACGGACCGACCGTGTCAATGTCCCCATGCTGAGAAAATAAAATTCTTTGCCTCTGGCATCGGCAGACAATCCCAGCTCGGCGTTGGCGACGGCAATCTCAGTCAGAAAGAAAGAGCTCTCGTCTAGACTCGCCCGCTGTGTTGTCCCCCCACCCCACCCCCACCCTAGACCCACCACTGTGAGTAGCTACTGTTTCTAAGCCTCCACCCCACCAAAATGGTTAAACCAAACCTGGGATAAAGTGAACACTTTCTTCTGGTCCTAAAGAGTTCACTTAAAACGGACTCCACTGTACTTCCTTATCCCCACAAATGTCCGCTATCAGACAGCCTGCGGTATTATACAGGGTGCCCATTGGCACGATCATTTCGGTTTGGTGAGCGAGGCTAGCCAGATTAAGGCCGCAAAGCAAACATCGTGGCACAAACCAATCACCTGACTCGCTGCCTCAAAAACAAACACGTATGTTTTCAGGCCACAAATTAGGAGATCGGTTTATCGATCCCTCAGTGGGCACCCCATATTAGAAGAAATTATACATCCTGTCTACCTATTAAGGTCCTCTCTTCACTTGTCTTGGCCCGCTAGAATAGGCTAATACTTACAAGGTCACCTTAGCAGAGACCTTGCCCACCATTTCGGAACTTCACAGTGACATTAAAGATGGTTCCAGTAGGGAAGGGATAGCGGGTGCCAACATCCGTCGTGACTCATCGGAGCAGAGGAAGATAGGACTAAGGCTAACGTAAAAAAAAAAAGCTCAACTAACAGAAGCATGTCTACTTAATAATAATTTACATAAACACCATCCCACCCACATCATCACTTATCACCACCACCACCGTCATTTCTAAAATCATTATTTCTCTCAGATCCTTCACACACATCTATAATCATCTTGAACATCTATATTTAACAGTTACACGTTATAGCAATTATGTACGTAATACAATATTTGACACTGTCATACATGTTTTTCTACTAATCAGATGGCGTCAATATCATAGAAATGGGCAAGGTGGGGGAGGGGGGGGAGAGGAAATTATATCGTCTGTTTAGTGTTGGTCTGTCGGACACCATTGTAAAGAGTGACTTACAACAGACTCTTTCACTGAGCAGTGGACATTATGTTGAAAAAAGCTTGGGAACGGGCAAGCAAAGCTCCTATACCTATACATTTTCAGAAAAAAGAATGTAAATAGGAAACACAGCTTATTAGTGAAGGAGTTGAAATGTGTGGCGATATAAAAGAAATAACCGGGATAAGCGAACTGAACTAACAACTCAAAAAAACGGTCTATTAAATCGGCTCTGACCCCACAGAACAAAACTTATGGCCATCAGCACTTGGAGATTTAAAATTCATTTTGCAATATCAATCCAATAACAGTGTAAACAGTTCATAACAAAGAGTGAGCTTAAGAAGATGTCGCATTTTCACTTTTTTTTTTAAACGGAGATTCGAGAAGAAAGCACTGAGGTCGCGTCCTTTTGCAAAGCAATGTTTGTCTTTTTCCCGAGACTAGATGGTGCTGTTGCCTGGTTGCAGTGTCTGTTTTTGCGTGTGTTCCAGATTTTTCCAGAAGCTCAACGACTACGGCTCTGCCATCCAGTTCCTGGTCATGTCTCACTGCAACGACGAGGCCTTCCAGCTGGCTCAGCAACATCGGCAGATGGAGATATATGCAGACATCATTGGTGAGGGCTGATAGATTAATGTGCTCTCACTCTCTCCCTCACACTCTCTCGTTCACAGCAACATTAGCTGATGTAGATATACGCAGACATCATTGGTGAATCTTTCTCTTCCTCACACTCTCACACTCTTCTCTCACAATCTCTTGTTCTTAGCAACATCAACTGATGGAGATTTACACAGACATCATTGGTGAGGGATGATAGCTTGTGCTGCTCTTTCTCTTCTTTCTCTCTTTCGCTCTTTTCTCTGATTCTCTCTCTCTCGCTCTCTTCTCTCTCATTCTCTCACACTCACATTCTCAACATCAGCAGATGGAGGTATTATACGCTCTCATCATTGATGAGGGCTGATGGCTTGAAGGGCTCTCTCTCTCTCTCTCTCTCTCTCTCTCTCTCTCTCTCTCTCTCTCTCTCTCTCTCTCATACTCTCTTCACTATCTCACATTCTGTCTCATCCGTGCTCATTCTCTCTCATCCGCTCATATTCTCTCTCTTTCTCTCATGCTCTCATACTTCATCACTCTAATGTTCTCTCTCTCTCTCTCTCTCTCTCTTTCTCTCTCTCTCTCTCTCTCTCTCTCTCTCTCTCTCTCTCTCTCTCTCTCCCTCTCATTACCTCATTCTCTCGCACCCTCTTTCCTCTCTCCTACTCGCTCACTTTCCCAGCCAAATCGCTTGTTGGGAATGCTGTATGTGCTGACATCTTTTTGCTGGCAAACTTTTTTGGTGCAAATTCAGAAAGCCAAAATTTTTCTGAAGAGACAAACACCGGTTTGTGATTTGTTTGTGTTGGTCTGTGTCAGGTGCTGATTCCCCCTTTCCCCCCCCCCCCCACCTCCTTATAGGGTGTGTGTCAGGCTCTGGGTCCCCCCGCCCCCCACCCCTCGTGTGTGATTTGTTTTGTGTTGGTCTATTCCAGGCTTCGATGTAACCCCTGTGTGTGATTTGGTTGTGTCGATGTGTGCAAGGCGCTGATACCCCCCTCCCAGCCCCCCAAACATCAGTGTGTGATTTGTTTGTGTTCGTCTGTTCCAGGTTCCGATGCGACGCCGGAGGACTATCAGAGCATCGCCGTCTACTTCGAGAATGAAAAGAATCACTTCCTGGCTGGAAAGTTTTTCCTGCTGAGTGGCCAGTACTCTAAAGTAAGTCGCGGTTCAGGTTGTGAGGGTTACGCTTTTATTATAGTTGTGCTGTTTTTGTGTAATTTTAGGGGGGGGGGGGATGTTGTGTAATATTACACGGTTTTTGTATAATATTTGGTGTGTGTGTGTGTGCATATTTTATATCTTTCCTTACATGTGGCACCAGGCGATGAAACACTTCCTCAAGTCTCTGTGTGTGTGTTGAGTGTGAGTTGTATCTTACCTTGCCTCGCCTTTTCTTGTATGTCGCGCCATCCAATGAAGCATTTCCTCAAATGTGTGTGTGTGTGTATGTGTGTGTTATATCTTACTTTACCCCTCTTTCCTTGTACATCGCTCCAGGCTATGAAACACTTCCTCAAGTGTAACGCCGAGGACGGCCAGGCCATAGAGCTGGCCATCGAGACGGTGGGCCGTGCCAACGACGATGTGCTGACCAAGCAGCTGGTGGACTTCCTCATGGGCGACGTCGACGGCTCGCCGAAGGTACGACCGTGGGTGGTTGGCGTGTGGTTTGCTCTTTTTTCCTATCGACATCTATGGTCCTGATCTCTCCTCCTTCTTTTTTTTGTTTCTCTCTTGTAACACCTCTAATCTTCGGCACTTTTATGACCTTATTGTGTTGCAAGTGTAAAGCGCATAGAGCCTGCTGTTGAGCGGGGATATGCGCTATACAAATGCTATCTATTATTATTATTACGTGCAACTGAGAGTTCTGTAAGGCACAAAGAGTTCTGTAAGGCACAAAGAGTTCTGTAAGGCACAAAGAGTTCTGTAAGGCACAAGTTGTTCAAGGCTCCCATTGTCTCCCACAGGACGCCAAGTACTTGTTCCGGCTGTACATGGCGCTCAAGAAGTTCGGAGAGGCTGCCCGGACCGCCATCATCATCGCCCGAGAGGAGCAGAATGCAGGTAGGCTACTGGTTTGGTTTTTTTTAACTTGACACTGTTTTATGCCGAATGCAGGTACTGGTATTTTTGTTCTTTTAACACATTACTCCCTAAGGTGTCTGGACAGGACGTCTACCCCCAAATCCTGAGCAAGGGGAAGAAACCCACCTCCCATGAATACAAGCGTTTAAAAAACACATTTAAAAAATGCTAAACAAATTCCCAAATTCCTGGAAAAAATAAAACTAAGAAAGACAAAAGATTGTAGTTTCAGAAAAATATAACTTTATGTATTCACAAACTGTTTGAAATGTTCTAACTTTATTCAATCGGGGTGTCCCGACAAAACTCAAATCCACAGTTGTTGATAGATGATTGTTGTGATTTGCTTGCTTCTCAGGAAATTACCGCAACGCCCACGACGTTCTGTTCAGCATGTACCAGGAGCTCAAGCAGAACAAGATCAAGATCCCGGCTGAGATGGCCACAAATCTGATGATTCTGCACAGCTACATTTTGGTTAAGGTGAGCAGAGCCAGATTGTCTTCTTGTTGTTGTTCTTGTTAATGATCCAGCAACAGTTGGGCTCTCGCCCTTCTGTCCTATGCCGTGCAGTGATAAGTGCAGGTTTGTTGCAGTTGCTATAATGTTCCTTAGAGTGTCACGACCTCAGTTCTTTCTTGTCCTATCTCCATTTATAATAACAGTGAAAACAGTTCACAACAAAGAGTGAACTCAAGAAGAAGTCACATTTTCAGTGTTAAGGAAAATGAAGATAGGACAAGAAAGCACTGAGGTCGCGATGTGTTGGCAATGATAGGTCTCGGAGGGAGATGTGTTGCTCTGATGTCATTTAGGGCTGTGCAGTGGAACAGGTGATGATCCACAGAGCCAGGTCATATAAGGGTCAAAGATTAGAGGTGTTACTTGAAAGTACCTTGTAAAGAAAAGGAGGAGAGATGAGGAGCAAGGTTTCAGCTGCATCTACGCATGTTACTTGACGTTTCCCTCCCCCGCCCATATCATTTGATGTTGAGGAGTGGGTGGTTGGCGGGTGCTCTGGTGGGGTTTGCTCCTTCTCTCCTATCAAACATCTGGCCTCCTCATCTCTCTTCCTTTTCTTTGCATCTTACTTTTTAGTAACACCTCTGTTCTTCGGACATCATATGACCTATTTGTGTCACGAATTCCATGAAATTGTTTACCATGACTTAACATTATAAAAAAAAGATGTCAAGGGTACGTGTAATTGTTGATCAAAGGCTAGGTGAGTGCTTTCTGTTGTAGGTGTCATCTGCCTCTTTCACCCTGGTATAGGGTACAGGCCACCAAGAAGGGGTCTCCACCTCCAGTCGCTGGCTGTGTCCCGTTTGTCTGAGATCTGCCTCGAAATCTCGTTCCCAGGGGTACATCAGGCTTCCTCTCTTTCTCCTCCTCAGACATCGATGGTCTAATGGTTGGGTTCTCAGACTTGCAACCATAGGATCGTGTGTTCAAATCCCATCAGGGGCTCTTTACATGAATTTTCCTGACGTCACTCGGGTGGGAATGGGTACCCAGCTATAGACAGTGAAAGATAGCTTCAGTTTGTTACTGTTTGAGTGCTTAATCAGCTGCTTGCACTTTATGCTTCCCGGTAAACTGAGAATGTTTCTGAGTTTTCAATGGTCTGTTAGGTTGATTATACAGTGTAAAGCGCCTAGGGCTTGCTGTCGAGCGGAGATATGTGCTATACTAATGCTGTTATTATCATTATTATTATTATTATTCCATTTTAGACCTTGTCGTGTCACGTTGTGGATTATTTCTGTAATAATAAAGTATAGATCCCTCCCAACCCTTCTTTCTTCTTTTCTGGTCCAGATTATGTTCTTTATTTCCCTCCATTCACGTATTTCTGGAATGTTCTTTTGTAGATCCACGTGAAGAGGGGTGACCACCTGAAGGGGGCGCGCATGCTGATCAGAGTGGCCAACAACATCAGCAAGTTCCCTTCCCGTGAGTGGGTGGTTGGCGGGTGCTCTGGTGTGGTTTGCTCCTTCTTTCCTATAAAACATCTATCGTCCTTATCTCTCCTCCTCCTTTTTTGTGTGTGTTGCTCTCTCGTGACACATCTATTCTCAGGCACTTATATATTGTGTTGCCAGTGCTGTAAAACTCTTACTGAAGCAAAAGAGCTTCCTGTACATTCCTGGTTTGTCAGTCAGTCCGTCAGAGATTTGTGTAGTGTATGTGTGGCTGTGTGTGTGTGTGTGTGTGGCTCGTGTCTGACTGTGTGTTTTCTCTGTTTCAGCAACTTTTTCTTGGTTGTATTTTCCGCCGAAGCAAGTTATTATTTTTTAAAATTTTATCTGCTTAAGCAAATTTTATCTTATCTGCATAAATAACTTATTTTTCTCTTATCTTCCGTAACATTTTTTTTTATCTAGCATCTGCAAAAGGAAACTGGTTGGGTTTTTTTTTTAATCTCATCCTCTTGTGCAAGTCATTTTACTATCTTATCCCGTTATTATTATTGTTATTATAATTATTATTATTAGTTTCATTATTATTATATTATTATTACTATTATTATAAGTAGTAGTCGTCATCGTAGAAGTAGTAGTAGTATCATTATTATTAGTAGTAGTAGTATCATTATTAATATTAATATTATTATTATTATCATTAGTATCATTATCATTATTATTACTGGCACTTGGTACCCAGATATCGTCCCTATCCTGACCTCCACCGTCATCGAGTGCCACCGGGCTGGGCTGAAGAACTCCTCCTTCAGTTACGCAGCCATGCTGATGCGGCCGGAATACCGCAACGACATCGACCTCAAGTACAAGCGGAAGATCGAGATGATCGTGAGGAAGCCGGACAAGACGGAGGAAGAGGAGCCTCTGACCCCGTGCCCCGTCTGTGGTTTCCAGCTGCCCGAGACGGAGCTTCTGTGTCCTGACTGCAAGAACAACCTGCCTTACTGTCTGGTCACGGTCAGTGTGTGTGTGGCTCGTGTGTGTGTGTGTGAGGGAGTATGTGTGTGTGTGTGTGTGTGACTCGTTTGTGTGTGTGTGTGTGTGTGTGGCTCGTTTGTGAGTGTGTGTGTGTGGCTCGTTTGTGAGTGTGTGTGTGTGTGGCTCGTTTGGGAGTGTGTGTGTGTGTGGCTCGTTTGTGTGTGTGTGTGTGTGTGTGGCTCGTTTGTGTGTGTGTGTGTGTGTGTGTCTCTCTCTCTCTTTTCTGGCGCTGTGGCGTCATAAATGGTCAGCGATGCCGACAGCACGCAGTAACTCAACGCATGCTTGGGGGTCCTTGAAATGAGCTGAGCATGGTTAACTGAAATGTCCCAACAGACGTGTGTGTGTATGTGTTTAGCTTGTTTGTGTATGTGTGTGTGTATATAGCTTGTTTGTGTGTGTGTGGTTCATTTGTGTGTGTTTGTGTGTGTGTGTGGCTTGTTTGTGTGTGTGTGTTTGTGTGTGTGTGTGGCTCATTTATGTGTTTGTGTGTACATGGCTTGTTTGTGTGTTTGTGTGGCTCGTATTTTTATGCACAGAGGAATTGTAAATGGGCTGATTTATCGATGTCATACTCATACTGTGCCGGAACAACATAGGGGGAACTGCTGCTTTTTTTTCCCGTCATCCTTACTATCATCAATTTCCCACTACTTCTTTTGTATGTTTGTCACTCTCTAGTCGAAGCAGACTTTGTGCTGGTGAAGCTAGAGAGGTGAGCAGAGTAAGTCTGATTCCCTGTAAGGACTTCTCTGTTGACATCCACTCCTAGGCGCACAAATGACCTTATGCAGTTACGAGCGCAGTAAAATGTTACAGTGGAATCCTGTTATAACGAGAAGGAGGGGACTGGTGCGAATATCCATTATAGTAGGATTCTCGTTATAAGGGATCCGGTGATAAATTCAAGGGAAATGATAATGTAGGCCTAATCTATGAGTTCGATGTTCTGTTTGTGTCTTTTTATTATTTTCCCTGTTGATGATTTTGTTCAAAGCGACCTCTGGGTCTGACTTGATCAAAAATCGAATCAGGTTTCTTTCTCTAACACTAGCGATGTTGACAGCTCAGCGTTGGTGATCAGAAAAAAAGGGTGCTAGGCTAACTCACCCGCTGTGTTGTCCCCCCACCCCACCACACCCTGTGGTGCGTTCCGTCTGCTTACGCACATGGGTACACACCACACCCTGCCCATGTCACACACTCACTCCATGCCATCACAGCACTGTGACCTTTCCATTCCCACCGGAGAAGTGAGAGGCATGGTAGGCCTAGATAATCTAGACTAGGCTGGCCTATCACGCGATGGGTTCTGCTTCTCTGCACACACCATACTCTCCCCAATCATTCACTCCAACGCTCCAACCTTCATTGTTTTTATACATGGGCTCTCCCATTCTTTGTTTCGCTCAAGGAGGTTAAAGTAAGGTCCTTGGTTTTGCTAGATCACCAACAAGCTTCTCAATTGGCGAAGTTTTACATTATGCATAATTGGCCTATGCGCTTTTCACAGCAGCTGCATTATTCCGCTATAACCAACTTGCATGTTTGTCTGATTGCACTATAGCAGTATTTTATTCACAAAGATAAAGAAGGGGAAAAAACGGGTTTTTAGAACAGTGTCTTTACAACAGACTTCTCGTTATTTCAGGACTCGTTATAAGTGGACTCCATTGTACTAAAGTAAAACAAACAAACTAGCTACAAGTACGGGCTGGGTTTGAGGTCACTGGCTCTCTCTGTGAAGGAAACATGTACTAATGAGCTTGGGGCCGATAGAGGCGGGAGGGTTGTGAGGGAGATGGACGGGATTGTGGGGGGGATGGGGGGGAATGGGAGAGACGTTTGCGACTGGGGCTGTAATGGTTAATGGAGGCATGAAACATTCACAATTACAATTTTTCCAGGGCCGTCACGTGATGAGAGATGACTTCTGCGTCTGCCCAAGCTGTGAGTTTCCTGCCAATCTCTCCGAGTACATCAAGTGAGTGATATAGTGGGTTATTTTATTTGTTTGTTACATTTAGTATTTAATAGCCTAAATTAAAAACTGGGGGGTGTGTGTTCCACTTTTTTTTTCTTAATAAATCTTTCACTACAGAGAGCCTTTTATAAGACCTACCCCTTAGTTCCATTTAAAGCTCTGGACAAAAAAAAAAGTTCATAGTGAATGAGAAACATCTATGTGGTCTAGTAATGTGAATTTACTATCTTTCAGTTTGTGGGTTGAGTGATGATTCTGCATTGTGCCCTCCCAGAGCTTTCTAGGGATATGGGGCTAAAATACAAAATCCCATTATTATTATTATTATTATTACTACTACTACTTCTTTCTCCTTTAGCAGTGGTGTAATAATTTGTTGGGGGGTTTTTTTGTCTCTGTGAGATAAATTTCTGCTTGTGGTCAAATGATACATCCGATGTGATATTTACATTATTGTCAGTTTTATCTTTCTTTTCATATTGAATTTTAATGAAAGTAATCATATATCATTTAATTTCTATGTATACCTGCATGTCTCCCCTCCAGGACAATAAAATATTATTATTTTATCTTCTGTATCTTTATTCTCTGATGTTCAAATGACTATCGTCTGTATCTCTCCTCCTTATATTTTATGTTTGTAACTCTCTTGTAACACCTCTAATCTTTGGCACTTATATGACCTTATTGTGTTGCAAGTTCCTTAAAACTCTTACTGTGGGTGGTTGGTGGGTGCTCTGGTGTGGTTTGCTTCTTCTTTCTTATCAAGCATCTATCATCATTATCTGCCCTTCTTCTCTTTTATGTTTGTTACTCTCTTGTAACACCTCTAATCTTCTGGCGCTCATATGACCTTATGCAGTTGCAAGTGCCGTAAAACCTGTGCTAAATCTAAAAACAAAAACTCTTACTAAAACTAAAACTCTGCCTTTGTTCTTTCAGACACTTGGAGACAGAAGAGACGTGCCCAATGTGCAGCGAGCGGGTGATCCGAGAGAACCTGCAGAAGGTGGCAGACCCTCACAAGTACATCTACCCAGACACAGAGGCCACCTCACAGGAGCAGTGAGGGATGAGATGGAGAGAGATTTTGGGTGGGGGGGGGGAATGAGAAGCGGGGAGATGGAGCAGAGGCATTCAAACATTTTTTTGCTTTTTTATCTGTATATAAAGATCTGAATATAGATATATATTTGTGTGTGCGCCTTGAGAAAGGTACCAAACGTCGCCCCTGACCGCTTCGAGCTGAATGC